TCCCCCGGAGCCGGGCGGGCTCTGCCGTCGGCGGAGCGCCTCCTGCTGCCCTCGGGGCTGGCCTTCACACTCACTCACACTCATCCTCACACTCGCACTCACTCAGCAGCATCCCTCTTCCCCTCCAGCTCTGCCCTCCACCACCGCCAAGATGCTGCTTTTGCTGCTGGGGATCATCGTGCTCCACGTCACCGTGCTGGTGCTCCTCTTCGTCTCCACCATCGTTAGCGTAAGTACGGACTTTCCTCGGGCACCGGGGTACCGGCAAGGCAGGGAGCGGCTGGTGGGGCGGGGAGGCATGGCACGGCAAGACCAGAAGGTGTTATTTTTATTTGTGGTTTATTTTACAGCCTGGTTTTTAGCGGGAAACTTTTACTTACCGATTGCTGGGCTTACCAACAGTGGGATTTTTTGGAGTGTTTTGCCCAGAAAGCTCTTTCTGTGTTTGTGCTGTCAGGTGTAACTGGTGGGGTGCTTGGATGTGTGCTGCAGCGGGTGCTCAGGGCACCCGTGTTAGAGCAGAGGAGAGCGCAGTTAAAACCCATCGTCCCCATGCTGGGTTGCATCAGGGAGCAGCCTCAGAGCACCCAAAATACCCCCCGGGGGAGGGTGACACCGCACTCCCCTTTCATAAAGCAGCTCCACCTGCTAATGGGACCAGTACAGCCAGTCTGAAGAAAACCTCTAGAAACGGGGCTGGTTTGGGCACTGGCTCCTCAGCACCCGTGGATTTGCCCTCCAGCTCCGCTTCTTTGGGGCTGTGAATTAGGCACGGCCTCCGTCTCCTAACCCAGATGGGCTCCCGCTGGTGATTTTCAAGGCTTGAGCTTTGCAAGCAGCGGGAAGATTGAGGGCTGGATGCTGCACAGAGAGTTCCCAGCCCTGTTCTCTGTCTAGAGCCCAGTTAACACGTCACGTACTTAGGAAGAGGTTTGACTTTGTTTTAAGGAGGCAGTTTTGTGGATCTGGTGAGGTCCAGACTTGCTTCACCAGGCTCTTCTTTCCCATATTTTTTTTTCTTTTTTTTTTTTTTTTGGATGGTCATAGTAGTAGAAGACGTTACAAAAATCTTCCGAGTCATTAGAAATCACGTGAAAGCATTCAAATAGCCCGGCCAGGCACCGGGCAAGGATGGCAGAGGGGAGGGAAGTGTGCGTCCCCCCGTGGGACTTGGTCCGTGTTTAAAGAGAATAAAGAGCCTCTGTTTTTCTGCCGTTGAGGCGAAAGCAGCTAAAAGCAAATACCAGTATTTACTTTCCAAGCCCCTTTACTAAAGAAAAGCGTGTACCTGGGAGCTCCCGGCCAGGCACACCCGTGCCGGTACGCACTGGGGCTGCCCGGTGCCAAAGCCTTTTGGGGGGGGGACAC